ATTTGGGCCTGGATTGGTCTGGGCCTCCAAGATTTGTAAAATGGGCCTCCGGGTCTTGGGCTTGTAATAATATATTTAATAATAATAATAATAATAATAATAATAATAATAATTTTAAAAATAAAATGAAAAAATCAATGTCTACAATACCAATCGATAAAAAATTACCTGCACTAATAACGTGAAATTTACATTACAAGACACGTGTAATATTGAAAAAGGAAAAATAATTCCGTGTCATCGATGCCACTAATTTTTTAACATTGGTGTATCAAATTGAAACTTAAATTAAACGTTAGATATGGTTTTAAAAAAATAAATAAAATTTAAGTACTAAAACGAAATAAAAGTGATAGTTTAAGTACTAAACATGTAATTTATCCAAAATTTTATTAGGATCAATTATAAAAGCTTTTATAAAACTTAATAATCATTAAAATAAATTATGTAAAATTTTAGGGAGAGTATTTATATATACTGGTTTAGTATGGGTTGACAGGAGGGGAGGGTTTATGAAATGATATGAGAAATGGAGACGATGCATGCATAATAATTTATGAGGTTTGGATTGAACAATATATATGGATGGTGTTTGGCAACCAAGAAAATGAAAAAGAAAAGTAAATGAAAACTGACAGACTCATCATCAGATTCTCTTTTCTCATTCTTCATGCTTTGCATGGAAAGCAGCAGCAACAAACCCTTTTCTTTTTCCATTTGATTTTCGTGTTCCTAATTCCCAAACCTCATTAGCTCTTCATATAATAATATCATTAGTAAAATCAGATACGGATAGGAAGGAAAACGAAGACGATCTTATTTTCATTTTTTTTTTATTATTTAATTTTATGTATTAATGGCATAAAATTATATATTTATCTTTGAATATAAATATTGTATAATTGTATTTTCTAAATTTCGTTGATATCTCTTGAAGGTCATAAGTTTAAGTACACTTAAATTTATCTTTGATTTAAAAGTTTAGATAAACTGTAACGGAGAATCTATAATAATAAAAATTAAGTGTCAAAATGGAAAAAGGGATATAATTTATGGAGCAATTTGTGAATTATACCTTTTATAAAACTTAAAATATATAAAGAAAAGCCAACATATACTTCCAAGGTGGGTGATTTGACATTACAGATTCTGTACAGACAGACCAATCTTTTGTTTTCCCTTTTGCCAAACTATATGAAGTTGCAGTAGCACAATTCTAGTGTACAACATTCACATACCATTTGCCAAATTAATCCTCATAATGTTTATTCCATGTTTTTAATTTAGGTATGATGACAAAATTAACATTCAGCGTTTACATAAATGATCATTTTGGTCTTTAATTTTTTATTGAAGTATTTTAGCTCCAAACGTTTTAATTTATTTTGTCAAAATAACTCATGTTGGATGAAAATCATTAGTTAATTAATGGTTATTTGTATAAACGTTAGGGGCTAATTTTATCATTTAACCTTTAAATTACGTGTTGGAAACTATAATTTAATTATTTGAATAACCCCATTTTGTAATGCATTTGGTGAATGGGATGAGAGAGATTAATGTTTCAAATAAAACTATACTCGTGTATCTGGTTAGATATTGACTCAAATAAATTAAAAATTAAGTTTAATTTTATCGTAATTCTACTTATTGAAGATGATTTGATGATTAAATTTATTTAGTTAATAATTCTTATGAAATAAGGATTCTTGGTGATCAAGTATTTAGCTATATAAATAGCGAATATATTTTAGCTTTCAAAATTATGAGAGAAAATTATTTTAGATGGATTTAATCATTTTGTAGTATCCCTAAATTTTTAGGGTTTACATTACAAAAATGAGTTAAGTAGGAACATTGAGAGAGTAGTTTGAGATATATCGAATTTTGTATATATATATATCGAGGTTTTAAGATACATGAAATATCATATATCTATACTCTTCTTGATCTATGTGTTCATACTAGATTTTTGTTTCTCCCATCTTGGGAGATAGACAAGATTAAACCACGTTAAATCTTGTCTCATGTGTATGACATATTTTACGTTGATATCACTTTAATTATTTTTACACTTATAAAATCATATCATATGCAGTACGGATTGCACCATGTGAAAGTACATTCAATTCATAATATATTCTAAAAGCTTCAAGAATTTCTCTCTTAACAAGATCACTATCTTTACTTTACCTTCTACCATAATTATAAGGGGAAAGACACTCATGGCAAAAGATGATCAAAAATTTTCGCCAGAATTTGTCACCTAAAGAAATTGCAACATATTATTCACTACAAATAATGTCATGGTATCTGAGTTCAACATATATAAATGCAATCACAGGAAAAATGAAAACTGCAAAACACACAATAGCAAGGTGAGGCCTTTCCTAGCAATATAGTTTAGGAGAGTTTCATCCAAACTTCACTTCCTTTTGTAATATATATATATATATATATATATATATTGATGAAGAAGAGGACCAGCTTCTGCTGGTAAAGTTGTCATTGTGTGTTCAGTAGTAGCGGTTAGACTTTTGAGCAGCCTGATCTGCAAATGACTGCTCCAGTTTTGCTTGCTTGTTTAGCCCATAGTGAATGTGTGGAAAATGTGCCCACTGCAAATGCATTCGTCTTCTTAGTTACACCATTTACCATTATGACTGTCAAAACCATTACTGCAAGTTTTCCTTTATATATATATATATATAGCCAAACCATGAACATAACCATTATCCATATGCGAAACTCAACCAAATCCAAATAATTCGAAGATTGAAGTTTTTCTTCTCTTGGTCTTAACTATCAATACTGATAATGTCATCAATGCATAGGAAATGAAGCACAAAGCTGAACAAGGAAATTATCAACTATTGCTTTTAATATAATATTATTGCTATAAATAATATATATTCTTTTTTTAAAAATAATAATAATATATTAACTTTTAAAAGTATTATATCATTTTGAGCAAAACTCATATATTAATAGCCAATAATAATAGTAAATATAAAATGTGAAGAAAAAATAACAGAAATGAGAATTAATTTTGAGCAAAAATAGTACAACAACAACAACAAAACCCAATTCCCATATGTATGGGGTAAGGGGGAGGTAGGGTAGTAGGCTGCTCCCAACGCCAGGTTGAGAGTAGCTTCCGTGGAAGACCTCCGGCAGTCAGAAAATTAAAAATATAGATAAAATGCAGTGCATATATAAATAAATACATAGCTAAACAATATTCATATGCAGTCATTAAAATCATATGTGCGTCTGTAACGGGAATTAATCCCTGCATAATAATCTCTGTGAAAGAATCTCTGCATATAGACAGAAACATAAGACCCGACTAAATTTAAAAGAGGAAACATGAAGAGAATGATACACAGAAGTCAACGATAGCAAGCGCAGTTCTAATCCTTCATAAATACCAATAACAGAAACATATAAAAAGTAGAAGTCATGGAAAATACTACAAAGACATTAAAAGAAGATAGAGATGATACACCCTATAGATGTGACCCACACTACTCGACTACCCTAGTCTTTAGCCTCCATATTTTCCTATCAGAGGTCATGTCTTCGGTAAGGGCTAAATCCCCTCAAATCAGATCTCAAGCAGTCTTCCCACTTCCGCCTTGGTCGTCCTTTCCTTCTGGCACCGTCGACTGTAATCGATTCTACCCTCCTGACCGCATCCGACGGTAATCGTCTAAGGACATGCCCAAACCACCGTAGTCTTCCCTCCCTCAATTTTTCGGAAAAAGACACCACCCCAAGGACATCCTAATAGCAGAGTTAGTCGTCTTATCCCATAGAGTCCTACCACATGTCCATCGAAGCATCCTCATTTTTGCGGCCTCAATCCTCCTTACGTGATCCTTCTTGGTTGCCCAACATTCTGATCCATACAACAGTGCTGGTCTTATTGTCATTCTATAAAATTTTCCCTTAAGTTTTAGAGGCACCTTCTTGTCACACAGAACTCCAGTAGCGGCCCTCCACTTTAGCCATCCCGCCTTTATACGGTGTGTAACGTCATCATCTACACCCCCATCTTTATGTATCATAGACCCTATATACTTGAAACAATCCTTTGAGGGGAGAACGTGTCCTTCTATGCATACTTCTACATCTTCATCGTTTTGGTTCCCATTGAAGTTTGAACATAAATACTCTGTCTTTTCAATATTGATCCTTAAACCTTTTTCTTCCAAAGCAGTCTTCCAGGTAGCCAGTCTACTATTCAACTCAGATTTTGTTTCAGCAACTAGGACAATGTCATCAGCGAAAAGCATACACCAAGGTACACCGTCTGGTGTCGCACAGTAGATGTCGTCCATAATCAAGGCGAAGATGTAAGGGCTAAGAGCCGACCCCTGGTGGAGTCCGATTTCCACCGGGAATGCCTCGGAGTCGCCAACTGTAGTCCTGACGTAAGTAGTAGATCTACAGTACATATCACGAATCGCCCGGATATAAGCAGTTGGGATCCGTCTCGTTTCCAAAGTCTTCCAGATCGTATCGCGGGGTACACTATCATAAGCCTTCTCAAGGTCAATGAACGCCATGTGAAGATCTCTAGACTTTTCTCTATATTTCTCCATAAGCCGTCGAAGTAGATGAATCGCCTCCGTGGTAGACCTGCCTGGCATAAAGCCAAATTGGTTTTCCGAAACCCTAGTAACTTGTCTCAACCTAGTCTCTATCACCCTTTCCCATAGCTTCATGGTATGGCTGAGTAGTTTAATACCTCTGTAGTTACCACAACGTTGGAGATCTCCTTTATTTTTATAGATTGGTATCACCGTAGACTCTCTCCACTCCTTTGGCATCTTGGCAGTCTCTAAAATAATATTAAAGAGGTTGGTCAACCACTTAACTCCCTCTTCTCCTAGGGCCAACCACACAGTGATAGGAATTTGATCAGGACCGATAGCTTTGTCCCTTCCCGTCTTTCTAAGGGCCATTTTGACTTCCTCAAACCCAATCCTACTTATAGGGCAGTCATTGGTCGTAGTATGATAGTCGGCTAACCCATCAACGATACTATCTCTACATGGAGAGGCACCGTCATTAAATAAGCCAAAGAAGTAACTACCCCAAACCCTCTTAATATCGTGATCTTTCGCTAAAAGAACACCATTGTTGTCCTTAATAAACCTAATGTTACCTAGATCCTTTTTCCTAATCTCCCTAGATTTTGCAAGTCTGAAGATGCAATTTTGTCCTTTCTTGGTGTCTAATCTCTTGTACATTTCCTCGTATGCCTTATCCTTTGCTTTAGCTACAATTTTCTTGGCTTCCCGTTTTGCCTCCTGGTATCTTTGTTTAGCTCTCGACCTTTCTTCGTCGTCATTGCATTGTAGAAACTCCTTGAAGCAAGTTTGTTTTGTCTTCACCTTAGTTTGGACTTCGTCGTTCCACCACCACGATTCTTTATGTTCCTTGGCCTTCCCCGTCGACAACCCAAGGGTGTTTTTGCCAACCTCTCTGATGGAATTTGCCATATTTTTCCATAACATATATGCATTATTTGAGTTTGTAGTTTTAAAACTTGTATTAGACAAAACCTTACTCCTAAAGTCATCAGATGTCGCTCCATGTAAGTTCTTCCAGAGGATCCTAGGTTTACCAAGTTTAGCCCTCCTATGAGTGCTCCGCCCGTGGGGTGCGCGGAACACCAGAACCAACAATTTGTGTTGTGATGCACATGCCTCTTCAGGGAAGACCTTACAGTCAATGTAAGCCCATCGTTCCCGATTTCTAATCAAGATGTAATCGATTTGGGTACAATGTCCCCCGCTATGAAACGTAATCAAGTTCGCATCTCTCTTATTAAAGAATGAGTTAGTGATCACCAAATCGTGAGCAGTAGCAAAATCAAGCAATGTACGCCCCTCATCGTTCCTGCTACCATAACTGAAACCCCCATGAACACCGTCATACCCGTCGGTTGCACTGCCTATATGGCCATTGAAGTCTCCCCCTATGAAAACTCTTTGGTCCTCCGGAATGCTCCTAAGTATATCATCTAACTGATCCCAAAAGCAATGTTTCTCCCCCTCCCCTAGGCCAACGTGTGGGGCGTACACTGAAAGTACATTCACTACTTCCTCTTCTATAATAACCTTAATCATCATGATCCTATCCCGGTATCAGCAAACTTCAACTACATTTTCCTTGAGCCTAGAGGATGCCAAGATACCCACCCCATTTCTAGCGTTATCTACGCCTGAATACCACAACTTGTACCCATTACACTCTCTGGCGCGGGACCCTTTCCACCTAGTCTCCTGGATACATGCAAAATCTATTTTTCTATTATTAAGTACGTCGGTCAGCTCCAGCAGCCTAGCATTTAATGTGCCTACATTCAACGAGCAAACTCTTAGTCTAGTCTCCTTGTCACCACTCTGTCGAGCCCTCCCCCTATACGCCCCATGGGATCTAAAAGAAGGACATGACCTCAAGTAATCATCTATAACCGAAGCAATGAGGAACTATGAAAAAAGAATCCAAATAAGACAGAAGATGCACTAATAAAAACGCTAACTTAATTCCAACAAAATCTAATCAAATAATTTTGCGGTATTTACTGTTTCAGAGAGTAAAATAGACCAAATCCAGTAACAGAAACTATAAGTTGACAAAACTAGTGAAGATGAACATCAAACCCAGAAAATTTTGCAGAGAAAATGATAATAAGCAAGCATATATATCACTATTGAGGTATTCACTGTTCTAGAGAGTTTAAACATACCAAACCCAGGGGAAAAAACTCTAAACTACAATCTGAAGATGAACATTGAATCGAACCCAGAAAAATAAATAAACCAAAAACCTCTAAATTCTGAAGCGAAAAGGAGATGGAAACAGAGCTAAAAAGTTGCTAGGGTCTTTAGCACAAAATTTAGTCTTTGGTAAATCAAAGAGCCTCTAACTACCAAAAAGTAAAGCTAATTGATGATTCTAAATATACAGTTCGGATTAAACTTCAAGAAAATCACAGATTGAATTTAACGGAAACTATAAACAAAGTTAAAACAAAATCAGGAATTGAAGTGAAAAGGGTCAAAATCACAGTCAAGATTTTAGGCTTTATGGATCTCAAAACAAACCAAGAGAGATTAAAGAATTAAAGGAGGAAAGCAGCAGAACTTTCTTTTTGAGCAAAAATAGTGAATTGTGAATATGTAAATATTAACATAGAATATAGACCTAGAGTAAAATTAGAAAGTGAAAAATTATACGAAGAAGAATAAAATATAATATGCAGAAGCGAAAGAATAACTTACATTTTTTGCTGCAGTGCTGAAAGCTTCCCTATGGCTGATATCTGGATTATTAGCTTTAATCCTTTGGATTTCCTCCCTAAATATAATATATGATCCAACAAAAGAAAATGAGTGTGAGAAAGATGGTTTGTGATCTATTATCCTCATGGACAGAGACAAGATTTTATGTCAGAGGAAGAAATTATAAAATTTTAGATAATAAAAACATATTATCAATAAAAAATATTAAAAAATATATGTGAATTTGAAATTTTAAGATTCCATCGTCACTGGTTATTCCTATATAATCAAGTAGCCATGAAAGTTTGGTTTAACTTACTTAATGAACCTGTTATACGCAGAAGGAACACGTTGCCTCTTCTCAGGGGCTGCATTATTTCATCACATATAGAGATCATCAAATATAATCATAATTAAAGCTTAATTAAACAGAACTCTGGGTTCAGGGTTCTTTTATCAAACTCCAGGGATTGTTTATAATCCAAAATAATAGGCAACATCAGCATTTGTGGCATGTGAAACTTGACAGTAAAGGCTAGTAGTAGCCCTGGTTTCTCAATAGTGGTCCATTTTCATGCAAATGTAAGCATATGAAGTCTTCGTGATAAAGATATAATTTAACGTATGCTGTAGGGGCAACTTTTGATATGCTTTTAGGGTGCGGTGTAGGAAACTGTTACTACTTAATGAGGAGTTAAAACTTGCCATGTAATGTCACCATCTTGTAGGGGCCATGATTGGAAAGGAGATATCATATAAGTTGCTTAAGCTGTTGAGATATACATACATATAATATACATATATATATGTATGTATGCATGTGTGTTGTTCTTGTATGTAAGTATAAGAGAGAGAGGGAGAGAGGGAGACTGACGGCGAATAGGAGACATTCTTGGTGCTTCTTGTTCTGCAGACTCAAATGCAGAAAACTGCTTGCTGCATTTTGAAGACGATCCACAGTCCTTATTTGAATGATCTTGATCAATGTTTATGGTCTGCTGTTTCTTCAACTCCACTCAAAACAAAGCAAAAACAAGTAAATCATCCAAACAATCCCTGTCTAATTTAATTTGGCCCACAAAGCTTTTGTTGATACCATTTAAAAAAAAACTGCAATAGCATTGAAACTTGACTTTGGGGAGAAACAAGAAGAGGAAAGATGTCAAATCAACTGAAACAACATTATTGTTTCATTGTAATAGTTTTTTAGCACAGCAGTGTATATTATCAGCTGAAAAGGGCTAGGTATCCACAAAAACAATGTTTTTTTTTCAATCTTTGATCACTCTTTGTCTTTGAATACCTGAGTATCTTGAATGGGAACTGTTTGAAGTGAAGTTCCCATATTTACAGACAGCAGATTGGCACAATGCCCACATCGAACAGTCACAATATTGAACAGACTTATGTATGGAACACTAACCTGCAAAATGTTACCATTCTAGAAATGTTATAATAAATCACCTGCAAGCTTAATAAAGTAGAGAGACTGAGAACTGATCAGAGGCAGCTATGAATATGTATATATGTATAGATAAACATTGGAGAATGTTTTACTTCATAGTACAATATGATCAAACACTAAGAAGAAATCAAGGCCCCAAGATTAATATCCTTCGAGATTTCATAATATCAAAACCTTAGAAAAATATCCAAACTCAAGGAACATGATAAAGTAATCCCCATTGCCTGCAACACTAATTGTAGATGGGGAAGATAAAGAAGTGATAGCATCAGATGCCAAAATATATAATAAGACCAGAAATTTAGGTTCCAAGTGCTCAATCATTTGTTCAGCGCACATGGGGCAATAACTATAGGTACAAAGGACTTGTTAGTTGTTACTTTTCTCAACCCCAAATATTATGTATTTTCCTTTCGGTGCGCCTGGCTTTTTCTGCCTGACACTTCAAGCTAGATGATAACAGGAAAAAGAAAAGAAAACCCAGAGTGGAAGAGAGTAAGAGAGGGATGAAAACGACGTGACCGGAACGGAAACCATAAAAGTCATGAGCTATCAAAGATGGCCATTGATTAAAGGAAGAAGAAAAGAGGAAAAAAATTATCATGAATGGTGGATTGATTTACTGATCTTTGTGTGCAGTGTTCCTGTGTATGTGATTTTGTTTTTTCCAGGGAGAATGTTGTTATGAAAGGAGGGTTAGAAAAGAAAGAGACGAAAAGCAGCACTTGGGTTTTATTACCCATGATTCCTCTCCTCACAACTTTTTGATATTACATCGAATACATACCGATCACCGAACGCAAATATCTTAAAACCAAAATTTCAGTGGAGGAATTAAGCTGTTAAGTAAGGGTTTCTTGATGGTATAGCTCTAGTAGAAGAAGATCAGGTTACTGACTTACTGGTAGTATAACAATCGATATTTTTCCATTGGAAGAAACTAAAATGAGTGGCAGGCTTGCCTTTGGAATACCATGACTATATGACTTTGAAAGGTAGGGAAAAGGAAAGAATCTCCGCCATTGTTGACTTGGAGCTTGACCTGGAAGAACCCTAAATAAAACTTAACTGAAGCCTAGTCACTCATAGCTACATCTGAAAAAAAAAGCTTTGGGTGTTGAAACTCACTTAGCCAAGCTTCTTCTTGCTTGTTTATGAGGGATCAATCTTTTGAAGGAATTCTAAATCAGAAAATCCCCAGTTTTATATATATGTGTGTGTCTGTGTGTGTGTGTATGTGTATGGTATTTCGTGCTTGTTTTAGACAAAACTAGGCTAAAAATTATCATAAAATATGACATAAGTGTTGGATCATAAACTTGATCCATTATGGGAGCCTAAACCCAAACCCAAACTAAATTGATGTCATTACTTACATCATTTAATTAAAGATGTCATTGCTTACATCATTTAATTAATGATGTCATTGCTTACATCAATTTAGTTAGGTGAGAGTTAGATATTTGTTGAATTTGTAATTGTTTAAATTAGTTTATTTGTGTGGTGTAGGATTGTTCTTGAGTAGTATAAATACCCCTTCCCATTTTAGTTTTAAGCATCAAGAAAAATTAAGAGCTTCTAAGTGAGTGAAGAAGCAAAGTCTTATAAGAGTGAGTTGTAGTTCTTGTTTTTGAGTGAGAGTACTCTTGTAATATTTGTTTGAGTTTCAATAAAAGTTGTTTGTGTGAGTGTTTTATTTCCAACAAAGTGGCATCAGAGAGAGTTGGAAAGATCGAAGGTCTCGACGAGAGGAATACGACGCCGCCAGAATTTTCTCAATCTGAGTTCTGACGCACCGCCACGCACCGCCGGAAGACTGCTGCCAGAAAATCGAGTTGACTCACCGAGTTGAGCCGATTAAGCCGAGTTGGAGCTCTTGACCGAGTTGTCCAAGTCCCTCCAAAGTTTTTTTTCATCGTTCCGGATTCATCCGTGCAATCGGATTTTACAAAATCTCATTATATTGAGAGATATGGCAAATGGTATGGCACCATTCCAAGTTCCGACACTCAACAACAACAACTACGACAATTGGAGTATCAAAATGAAGGCACTTCTTGGATCACAAGATGTGTGGGATATCATAGAGAAAGGCTATAATGAGCCTGCGGATGATGATGTTTTTGCTACTCTTACACCAGATCAAAAGACAACTTTGAAGGATTCAAGAAAGAGAGATAAGAAGGCTCTCTACCTAATCTATCAAGCATTAGATGATGATGGTTTTGAAAAGATTTCAAGTGCAAGCTCTAGCAAGGAAGCATGGGAGAAGCTGCAAACCTCTTACAAAGGATCCGAGCAAGTGAAGAAGGTTCGTCTCCAAACATTAAGAGGTGAATTCGAATCCTTAAACATGAAAGCATCTGAGTCTATTTCAGATTATTTCTCAAGAGTAGTAGCTGTTTCTAATCAATTAAAAAGAAATGGTGAAAAGTTAGACGATGTGAGGATAATAGAGAAGATACTCCGTTCGTTGGATCCCAAATTTGAGACATCGTCGTGACGATTGAAGAAACTAAAGACTTGGAAGAAATGAAGATCGAACAGCTCCAAGGATCATTGCAAGCATACGAAGAGAAGCATAAAAAGAAGCATGAGTTTACTGAGCAACTCCTCAAGCTGCAACTCAAGGATATGCATGAGAGCCAACGCAATGATAGAAACCAACGTGGCCAAGGCAGAGGTAGAGGCCATGGACGAGGTGGAAGTCGAGGTCGTGGACGAGGCTGGAATTACAACAATAACAATTCCAACAACAACTATGAGAAAGGAGAAAGCTCAACACGAGGCCGTGGAAGAATTAATCCAAACTCAAAGTATGACAAATCTAAAATTCAATGTTATAATTGTCAAAATTTGGGCATTATGCTTCAGAATGTAGAGCTCCCAACAACAAAATTGAGGAGAAGGCCAATTACGTGGAGGAAAAGACAGGTGGCAAAGAAACTCTTCTTCTAGCACGAAAGGAAACTGATGGTGGCCAAGCAAATTCCTGGTATCTTGACAGTGGTGCAAGCAATCACATGTGTGGAAGGAAAGACATGTTTGTGGAGCTAGACGAGTCAGTAAGTGGAAATGTTTCGTTTGGAGATGATTCCACAATAGCAGTGAAAGGGAGAGGTAACATTCTTATCCGTTTGAAAGATGGGAGACATCAATTTATTTCAAATGTCTACTATGTGCCCAATATGAAAAGTAACATTTTAAGTTTAGGGCAACTGGTAGAGAAAGGTTATGATATTCATATGAATAATTATAATCTTTCTATAAAAGATGATAAGAATAACTTCATTGCTAAAGTGCCGATGTCAAAGAATAGAATGTTCTTGATCAACATACAAAATGATGTTGCAAAGTGCCTGAAAGCTTGCTACAAAGATGCATCATGGCTTTGGCATCTTCGATTTGGGCATCTCAATTTTGGAGGTCTAGAGCTATTATCTAAGAAGGAGATGGTGAAAGGACTACCTCACATCAACCATCCTGACCAACTCTGTGAAGGGTGTCTAGTCGGGAAACAATTCAGGAAAAGCTTTCCAAAGGAGTCAGAGACAAGAGCTAAGAAGCCACTTGAGCTCATCCATACCGATGTGTGTGGACCGATCAAGCCAAGCTCTCTCGGTAACAATAATTATTTTCTTCTATTCATTGATGATTTTTCAAGAAAAACCTGGGTATATTTCTTGAAACAGAAGTCAGAAGTTTTTGAAGTCTTTAAGAAGTTCAAAGCAGCAGTGGAGAGAGAAAGCGGTAGAAAGATCAAAGCCATGAGATCCGATCGAGGTGGAGAATTTACTTCCAGGGAGTTTCAAGAGTTCTGTGAAGCAAATGGAATTCGTCGACCAATGACAGTTCCTAGATCCCCCCAGCAAAATGGTGTGGCAGAAAGAAAGAATAGAACAATCCTCGACATGGCACGAAGCATGCTCAAAAGCAAGAAACTACCCAAAGAATTTTGGGCGGAAGCAGTATCGTGTGCAGTCTACTGTCAAATCGATCTCCAACAAGAAGTGTATGGGGAAAGACACCGCAAGAGGCATGGAGTGGAAGAAAGCCTGGCATTTCCCACTTGAGAACCTTTGGAAGTATAGCCCATGTTCACGTACCAGACGAGAGAAGAACGAAGCTTGATGATAAAAGCGAGAGTTTTATCTTCATCGGCTATGATGCTAATTCGAAGGGCTACAAGTTGTACAATCCAGACAATAGAAGTTTGTGATTAGTCGAGATGTGGTCTTCAACGAAGAAGGAGAATGGGATTTTAACTCTCATACAGATGACTTCAATTTCTTTCCTCAGTTTGAAGAAGATGAGCAGACAATGAGGGAGCAACTAGATGAATCTCAACAAGAGCTTGCAACTCCACCCACTTCACCAACATCAACCACTCAAGGAGACTCATCACCTTCATCATCGTCAAGTGGGAGTCAAAGTGAAAGAGTTGTGCAACGCACAAGAAGCCTTAGAGATCTCTATGAGGTAACTGAACGACAAGATAATCTTACATTATTTTGTCTGTTTGCCGATTGTGAACCAGTGAGCTTTCAAGAAGCGGTACAAGAAAAGAAATGGAGAGATGCGATGGACGAAGAAATCAAGGCCATCGAGAAGAATGACACATGGGAACTTACCTCACTTCCCAAGGGACATAAGGCGATAGGTGTCAAATGGGTGTACAAAACAAAGCAAAACGCCAAAGGAGAGATTGAAAGGCACAAGGCGAGGCTAGTTGCTAAAGGCTATAGTCAAAAGGTGGAATTGACTATGATGAGGTATTTGCTCCTGTTGCTCGATTGGAGACTATCAGACTAATCATTTCTTTGGCAGCTCAAAACAAGTGGAAGATACAACAGATGGATGTAAAGTCCGCCTTCCTAAATGGAGTTCTTGAAGAGGAACTTTACATTCAGCAACCATCAGGCTATGAAGTCAAAGGGCATGAAGACAAGGTGTTGAAGTTGAAGAAGGCTCTTTACGGGCTAAAACAAGCACCAAGGGCATGGAATAGCCGAATCGACAAGTACTTCCAGAGAATGGCTTCAACAAATGTCCCTACGAGCATGCTCTATATATCAAGATCAAAGATGAAGATATTTGATCGTGTGCCTCTACGTGGACGATTTGATCTTCACTGGAAGCAACCCAAGCATGTTTAATGAATTCAAGGATGTGATGATGAAAGAATTCGAGATGACAGACATGGGGCTCATGGCGTACTACCTTGGCATTGAAGTTAAGCAACAAAATGATGGAATTTTCATTTCACAGGAAAGCTATGCAAAGGAGATATGAAGAAGTTCAAGATGGAGAACTGTAAGCCAATAAGCACACCGGCAGAATACGGGATCAAGATGACCAAACATGAAGAAGGCGAAAGTGTAGATCCAACATTCTTCAAAAGTTTGGTAGGAAGTCTACGCTATCTAACTTGCACGAGACCGATATTCTTCACGCAGTTGGATTGGTTAGTCGCTACATGGAATCCCCAACAACCACCCATTTTAAAGCCGCAAAGAGAATTCTTCGCTATCTGAAAGGTACAATTGACTTTGGCTTGTTCTATTCAGTTTCTAATGATTACAAGCTTGTTGGATATAGCGACAGTGATTGGGGTGGAGACATAGATAATCGAAGGAGCACTACTGGATTCGTATTTTTCATGGGAGATATTGCATTCACATGGATGTCAAAGAAACAACCGATTGTCACATTATCCACTTGTGAAGCGGAATATGTTGCTGCTACCTCATGTGTTGTCATGCAATTTGGCTTAGAAATCTATTGAAGGAGATTGGTTTGATACAAGAAGAGCCTACCAAGGTTTGTGTCGACAACAAGTCAGCCATTGCCTTAGCAAAGAATCCAGTATTCCATGATCGAAGCAAGCACATTGATATTCGCTACCACTATATAAGGGAGTGTGTTGCAAGAAAAGATGTGGAAGTTGAATATGTGAAGTCACAAGATCAAGTTGCTGATATTTTTACCAAGCCACTGACCAGCGAAGACTTCTTAAGATTAAGGAACCTACTAGGGGTCACGAGATCAAGTTTAAGGGAGGGTGTTGGATCATAAACTTGATCCATTATGGGAGCCTAAACCCAAACCCAAACTAAATTGATGTCATTACTTACATCATTTAATTAAAGATGTCATTGCTTACATCATTTAATTAATGATGTCATTGCTTACATCAATTTAGTTAGGTGAGAGTTAGATATTTGTTGAATTTGTAATTGTTTAAATTAGTTTATTTGTGTGGTGTAGGATTGTTCTTGAGTAGTATAAATACCCCTTCCCATTTTAGTTTTAAGCATCAAGAAAAATTAAGAGCTTCTAAGTGAGTGAAGAAGCAAAGTCTTATAAGAGTGAGTTGTAGTTCTTGTTTTTGAGTGAGAGTACTCTTGTAATATTTGTTTGAGTTTCAATAAAAGTTGTTTGTGTGAGTGTTTTATTTCCAACAATAAGAATGAGAACTTTGAGCTACTTTACAAGTTAAATCAAGAAAATCTCATGATCCATGAACTATGGTAGGCATCTTTTTAATTCTGGTGAAAGACCATGAGAATTCCCACTTTGTTCTTCAAGAGAAAGAAGCCAAATGGATTTCAGCAAACCAGACATGGCCAAATCAGCTCTTTTTTTGCAACAAAAGAAGAAGAAGAAGGAAGGAAGAAGATAAGGAGAGAATTGAGGGTTGTACCGCTAAAATGGTGTTGCAGAAGTTGCAGTGAACATAACAAACACGTTCAGATGCCGAATCCAGTGACATTTTTGTTCCGACTTGTTCTCTCTCTCCTTTTTAAACACTATATACCCCACTATAAGGCTAGAACAAAAGGCTAAGGAAATGGAAAAAGTAGCGAGGATCAAAGGGATGAAGAGAAGAAGAAAATAGTTGGATTTATTTTCTTCTTTTTTGGATATATATATATATATATATGGAATTATGATGAATTGTGAGAGACAAATGTATAAAAAAAATCTGATAGGACTAGTCTGGTCGGGTGAGGGAGAGATAAACACTGTAGTGGAGGAAGAGAGTGTGGGGATGGAAAGTGGGTATTGTTTTCCTCATTATTATCATTATTACTAGTATTTTAAAAAAAATTATGCGAATATTTGGATTTAATTTTTTTATATTAATAATATATCTTTTTGTCGAATAAATCACAAATAAAATAATAAAATATTTTTTATACCCAAATAATAAAAAAATTATGCGAATATTTGGATTTAATTTTTTATATTAATAATATATCTCTCTACGAAGGAGATTAACATAAATATAACTAAAATTATAATAAAATCCAATTATATAGTAATTTGGTAAATACATAATTAAAACATAAATAGTATTATATAACTGAATTAGAAATCAAATCAGAATAGACCTAAACATAAATCAGAAACGTTTAGATAAAAACTCAAACATATAAAACATTATTTTAGAAATTAGTTTCGACACTTAATTCATGATTCCACCAATTAAAACCATCCAACTCATTTTTTTCTTCATGTAATTATTATTACACGTGGATCTTCATTCTTTTTTTTAATGTTATATTTTTATGAAATATTGATAATATATAAATGACGAATTAAAAGATTTTAATCGAAAAGAATGGTGAATAATATAGTAATAAGAATTTGGAATTTAAAATATTAAATATTAAAGATTCCATTTAAAGAAAATTATTAGACGAATTCAACTTACAATCTTACGTGGATTATGATTAAGGGAATGATATGAGAGGTGGGAGTAACCGATCCTTGGTTTCTGTAGCGGAAGAGAGGGGCGAGATATTTATGCTTTGGAATGTTTTTGGGATGTGAGACCTCACGCGCGCCTCTAATCCTTAAACTCCACCGTCAACTTCTTTATAAGATATTAAAAATATTTTTTATAAGATAAACTACACACTTAGTATCTAAATTATTATTTTTCTTTATTTTAATACTTAAGTTTTATTATTTTTCAAAATAATAGTTTAAGTTTTATTTTCTTACCCTACCGTTAAAAACTTAATGGTAATGTTGACGTATAACCATAAGGTAATATCAAATTATTATTGAAAAAAATAAAAAAAAATGTCACATCAGTAGTTCTGTTAATTTTTTAACGATAGAGTGTCAAATTGAAATTTAAACTAAACGTTAGATATAATTTTGAATGAAAAAATTAGATACCAAAATAGAACAAAAACAATAGTTTAAGTACCGAAATTTGGTGCTACATTGGATCACGAAGACGACTACCAAGTATATAATTCATTTGCAAATTATCACGAGTCAGGTTTCATTTCAGAATATCAAAAATATAATTTAAAACGTTTTTTATAAAATCGAAGCCCGAATTACAAAAAAAATATAAATCAAAATAATAATAGAGTGTACAAATTAAAATATGTAAAGTAAGATCCTATGAATATATGTGTCCACAAAAATAAATCAAGTATTGTACTTTGAATTGGGGTGTTATATGTCTCACTTTGACAGTGCTCCATTGACACAGGCATAATCACATAGATCTAATAATTCATGCGCAAAAATCAATTCGAATATCGAATTTTACAAACTTAGTGATACATATCTACTATATTAGTATACATGCAATTCAATATATGCATGCGTGTTAAAAATAAGCATAGGAACATAGTTTACTCATCCTAAATGCATCTCAATCGATATGATCAGTTCCCATTTATGCACTTATTTTGCATTAATTTCATGCAAGTTGTTGGCAGTGTCGGCAACAAATTAATTACGAACACTCAGGATGTTTGAATTAAAGAAAACAAATTTATCAATTAATTGCAGCGATCATTAGAAAATATGTTATGCATGTGCCAAACGAGAGTGCATGCACAGGAAACATTTATTATATATTACTTGATATCTATACACTATATATATTGTGTCTGATTGTGTCAATGTCACCAGTTAATTAAATTTTAAGGATCGAACATGTAATTATAAACTTTTAATTATATATTCATCGATTGAGTATTAATTCAAGTGATATAAATATTATTATGATATTCAAGTGAATAAGAGTTTGAATGCGTTTAAAATATATTATTATTCGATTCATTGATAAATATTAATATGAGATATCTCAATAGTTAAAGAGAATATTATTCTCTTTAGAGGTTTTGAGTTCAAACAACCGTGTTTACAAGATATGTGTGCATTATCAATAATTAAGAAATTTTTTGAATAAATAGTATTTTATAATTATTTCGGATTATTTAAAAATCCGAATTTATTTTGACTATTTTAAATCAATTGATTAACAATGATATTGAGTAATTTTTAAATATTGGCATGTGAAATTGTTTAAACATATTGGAGATAGTTATGGTTAATTCTTGGACCTCCCAGTGGTCCAAAGATTGAGAAAATGATGGTTCCACACCTAATTTAAACTTTAACCCTAAGATTGAATGGTCCAAATACCCTCAACCACAAGGTTTTAAAGAATTAATTATTGTTTGTACTAAGCTACTTCTTCATCAGGAAAGACTTTTTTTTTACAAATAATTCATTTCGTTGAAAAACATAATAATTTTTTTTTGCTTAAGATATAAATTATATATATCCATCAAGACCTAGATGCCATATAACTTCAAGCACAAGTTGATATTATCATTAGCTTTAATGAAAGCAATTTGAAAAAAAAATTAAAGAAATTTGAATATTTGAGTGTTTTACAAACTATTTTTAGTTTACCAAAATATTATAATAATTCTAACTATAAACTACCTATTTGATCATCTATTTATTCTCACAAAACTATACTTTTTTTTTTATAAAAACTAGCACGGGAAAGTAATCAAAATTATAATTTCACCATATAATTTCAAAATAATGAATAATCATTCATACGTTATAACTTCGAATGGAGACCAATGTTGACCATAAATTCTAAAATTGTGATATATTCAAAAACATTCTTGATTTGAACTTATTAAATGATCTTAACGGTAAAAGATAATGTTGTTGTTTCTTGATGACCGAATTTATACAATTATATATATAAGGTCTATATACATTATCAGTAATCTAAAGAAATTCTAAAGAAATATTATTTTATAATCACTCTTTATTTACCTATATTTGAGGGTTGACGCTGACCTAAGCTTACCTAAATATTGTTTTGATGTTTAATTTTCAGAGTCCATAATAGCCCACACAACCTGTTCAAGTAAATGCAAAGATACAACAGACAAGGCCCAAGCATATCTTTATTACTGGATCATATATTGTTGCCCATTTTAGAATCTGTCCGTATAGAAAATTGTTACATCTAATATTTTAAGATATTCACACTTAGTTATACATATGTTAATATTTTTAGGGTAATATTAAGTAATTATATATAATCTATTGATCGATTAATTTACATTTAGTTAATTTTTTTTTGCAGTAGTTTGTTGATATATTTAGAATCGTTTACGGAGTAATATGTTAGATTGGTTCTCTTGTTCTTCTTACTTATATCAATATTGGATCCAAGTTCGAATAGAGAAGAAAAAATTATTAATACTTATTAGATTTTTTTTGGAAGATAAAATATGTATTTAAAGAAAATTTTGGTTTTATTTTTTATTTATGGTCTTTAAATTTTTATGTTATAGTTGTGCTATATTTGTTGTATCTTATTTTTTTTATTTGATGAAAACCATTTTTTTTATTAAAAAACAATAAATATTGTTTGACAAGTGACAATTGATTGGTAAGTGCCCCAAAATGACCTAAAAATCCTCACAGAAAATTTTACAGTGTGACACCTTTAATACAACAACAATAACAACAACAATAAAACATATTCTCATATGTAATGGGGTAAGGGGGAGGTAGGATAGTAGGCTGCCCCCAACGCTAGGTAGGGAGCAGCTTCCGTGGAAGACCTTCGACAGTCAAAAAATTAAAAATATAGATAAAAATACGTGCATGTATAAATAAATACATAGTTGAACAGACTTCATATGCAGTTTTCATATGAGCATATGTAATGGGAAGTAATCCCTGTAAATAAATCCCTTCGTAAAAATCTTTGCATATAGACAGAAACGTAAGTCCCACCTAAATTTAAAAAGAAGAAACATAAAGAGAATGATGCACACTAATCAGCGATAGCTAGCTACAAGAAGGTATAAAGTCAAATGGTTTAAAACCTAAACTAAGGCAACACTACTCCGCTACCCTAATTCTGAGCCTTCATAAATTCCAATGACAGAACTGTATAAAAAGTAGAAATAATGAAAATAACTACAAAAACAATAAAAAAAAGTTGTGACACCTTTAATGTATAACTAAAAAAAATATTATCGATTTTTTTATTGATTAAATAATAAAATTAATAAAAATATTAATTAAAATATTATTATTTCTATATAAAATATTATTATTTTTAATATTTTTGATAAAATATCCAACAATAACAAAATCAATAACAAAATAACAAAACTGATAAAAATAATAATATTTCAAGTATATTTTTATCAATTTTTATTTAAATAATAACAAAACCGATAATATATTAACATTATATTAAATATGTCTCACGTTATCATCTCCCAATATCATTGTACAAGATCGGAACCTGCAAACCCATATAGAAGAAAGAAGGCCGAGGACACTTACTCAGAGCAAGCGAAGAAATGGGCGAGTCATCATCCGAATCATTCTTGAAGAAGCACTGGGAAGCTTACAAAGAATTCTGGGCCGAAAGATCTCCATTCACCGATGCCTATTCAAGATTCAACAGCCGTGAACAGTCTCTTCCTCCTGTTCTGAATCCGACGTTAAGGATTTCATCGCTTCTGACCCTCTTCATGGCCCCACCTTTAGTAATCTCCCTCCTTCCTTTTTCAATTTTGGGTGTTTTTCGATATTGGGTTCCTTTGATTTAGTTCAAATTTTAGCAAATTTGATCATTTCTACCGACACCCTTTCATTTTTTTTTTTTCCTTTTTGATTTTGGTTCTCGAAACAGTATCTTGTCAATGAAACGGTTTTGTTTGGACTGCTTGTAGTTTCATATGCTAGAATTAATTGCTGGGGTTTTGCCTAATTTGTAAGCTATAATGTATTATGCAGATAGAGTTGTTGTCATTTTGCTGCAGTAGAAGCAATACTAGAACATATTTTTCGCCTCAAATTGCTTGAATTTCATTGTTTCCTTTCTTCTCTACAGTTGAGAACTGCTAGGGAAGCAGCAAACAGTGCCTTAGCAGGCGGTGCTATCGGAGCGATATCAACTGCAGGTCTTGCCTGGAAATACTCAAGGAGTTTACATGATACTCTAATCCTTATTCTCCATGGTCATATTATTAAGCTATGAAACAATGAAGATCAAAATCCCAGTTCCCAGCGATATCAACCGTTTCATATACACTTTGATTCGAGCAATGCCTTCAATGATATCTACAATCTCACTTACACTCCTCTTAACTCCCTTAAATTGTCTATAACTCATTTTATCCCATATACAGTATATGTAAGCACACCAAGCCACATATAGAATGTACACCAAGAGTGAGTTACCCTTGAACTGAGAGATAGCCCAACCAAGCTCTTCACTTCAGTTTCTTCCAAACCTACGAATACTGCAAAGCCTCAGGAAAGACTCCACACGCTCAAAGAATATATGATCTCGAGAGTCCTCTCCATTATAGATCATGCAGCCCTCCTCCACATTAATTCTCTTTTTTATCAACCGATCAGTAGTAGGCAACCTATTAAGAACTTCTATTCACGCTATAATAAAATGCTTAGGAACATTCATAGAAAACCACACAAGTCCCTGCCATTCAATCATGTCCTTCTAGTCCCTAGGCTCACCCCACAACCATCTCGTTGTTATCCTTCTCCAATTTGGGCTTCCAGTAAACAAAGGTCTAGCCTCCTCTCTTAGCCTTAACAACTTCCTCAAAATCCAACCAGTGTTTTAAAAAGCGCGCTTGAGGCGCTTTGAGGCGTTTAGAAGAAAGCCTCCGACCACCAAGGCGGCGTCGAGTACATGAGGCGGCGATTCAGTCGTCAGAGGCGGCGAGAGACGACGAGGCGACGAGGCGATGCTTTTAGCGATTCACGTACAATGATCCATTTATATTCTGAGGAGATTAGGTGGAGTTCTAGGGCAGCAGATTGTGTCGGGGGTTTGTATTGATGGGAGAGAAAGGAGTTTAAGCATGGGGGTTGTCACCTTGGGCCAAGATAAGGCTGATCAAGAAGATGGGCGCAATGTTAAAACAAGTATGTTAGAAGTTAGTGGGCTGCCAGTTGGCAGTGATAATAGGAAAAAAATAAGTGGGAAACACGTGAGTATGGAATCGAGAAATACAAACTTCTCTGATGATTCTGCACATTCGGTTGACTATGGTGTTGCACCTACTTCAATTAGGAAATCCAACCATATTGGGCCTATTAAGTGGGTTGGGAATGAGAACTCTATTGGGGGGCAGGATGGTGAGTTGCAAACTGAAACGGATGATGTTTTGATCCAGTGGCAATCTGTAGGGCCGAGTAGGGGTGACGGGGATCATGGTGTCAATACAATTATTTCTGGAATCCAAGAGAGGGGGAAATGTTCTGTGGAACTCAAAAGAAGCGCCTCGCGTACGTGAATTCCTCGCCTCAAAGTGCCTCAAAAATTGAGGCTCTCGGGTAGCTAATCGCCTTGGAGCGCCTCGCGCCTTTTAAAACATAGAATCCAACTAAAATGTGGCTTATAATCCACCTGTAAAAAATCCCTACCCTTGAAGACATAAGCACGAATTTAGGCCACCCATAAGGACCCTTCAGTAGCAAGGATATTCTTCATCAGCAAAAGCACACAAGCTTTATACCAGCTTTTCAAATTCTTTACCCATAATCCCCTTCTGACTTAGGAACACAGATGCACTCCCACTTGACCCTAGCTCCCTTAGAAGGTACATCATCCCCCTTCCAAAAGAAACGTGCACAAAGTTTATCCACACGCCTGATAACGACAGAAGGCAACACCAACTACCTACACCAGTAGTTAGCAATACTAGAAAATACAACACCAATCAATTGCACCCTTCAAGCGTAACTAAGCTATTTACTTGACCATTACCCTAATTTAGCTTTGATTTTTTCCACGAAACAAGCATAATCCCTCTCTGTCAATTTCCTAGGAACTAATAGAATCCCAAGGTACCTAACAGGTAAGGAACCAATCTTTAAAATCATGTAGAAGAGCCAATTGCGTTTTGGTCATGCCAGAAGAAAATAGCTCAGACTTGGCTGCATTAAGCCTTAACCCTGAAACCTCATAGAGCTTATCCAATACATACTTAATCCCCACAATGGAGTTAATGTTTCCTTTGCAAAAAAATTGCAAATCATCTACAAAACATAGATGAATATGCCCTAGCTTCTTACACTTAGAGTGGTAAGAAAAACTTTTTTGGTAGTAGCCTCATTCAATAATCTAGATAACACAGTCATTGACAAAACAAACAAATAAGGAGATAATGGACCCCCTGCCTTATGCCTCTTTTGCCCTTGAAATAACCAATCAAACTCTCATCGAAGGAAATTGAAAATATGAATCTAGTAATACATACTTCAATCCACCTCTTAACCTAAGCAATCAACCCCAACCCTTCCAAAACTCCAAGAGTAAAATCCCAACTTAAGGAGTCAAAAGCTTTCTGCAAGTCAGCCTTAATGGAACACCTAGGGGAGAGAGTTCTTTTCTTGTACCCTTTTACAAGCTCCTGGGAAAAGAGTGTGATGTCCACAATACTTCTTCCCTTCACAAAGGCAGACTAGTACATAGAGACCATTCCAGGGAAAAGATGGGCAAGCCTTGCAACCGAAATTTTTGTAATGACCTTATAGATCACATAATAACAGGAAATTGGCATATAGTCCTTGGCCATACTTGGATTAGGCACCTTAGAAACAAGAATGGCAATAGTAGAATTAGAAGCAGGATGTATAGTGGAAGAGGTGAAGAAGTACTATACTCCTGCAACATCATTATCCTCACAAGATCCCAAACAACCTTAAAAAAATCAGCTGTGAATCCATCAAGCCCATGAGCCTTATCCTTCCCCTGACTAAAAAAGGCATCCTTTATTTCATCACTTGCAACTTCTCTAGTCAAATCAGTCTCAACAAGCAAAGAATAGTTGAGCAGCTCCCTCAAGACCCCTACATCACAACCCTTAACACCTTCTACTGATAGAATAAGCTTTCAGCTTTCTCCAACTCAGCCAACTGCAGCATCAACATTTTCTCAGCCTCCATGTTATTTTGGCCAGTGCTACACAAATTCAAGATCTGCTGCCTCTCCAATTGCACCCTCTTATCAACAACCTTCTAAGAAATATCATAATAGCAATCCCTATTAAGAGCCCTTAAAACAGGTTTCAACCTCCTTAGCTTGCAAAACAACACCTGCATAAGATCACCATGCATAGCCTCATCCTAGGAATTCTTAATAATAAATGTATCTATGTTGTGTAACAAGACTGTATTATAACTTTGACATGACTGAAAAATACGATTATAATTTGTATCTAAATTTGTTTTATGTGATTACTAATCATTTAACCGGATTAATTCAATTTGATCGATTAATCAAATTTTAAGTGAACAATAAACATCAAAATTTATTTTTAAATTTGTTTCATATGATAAAAATAATATATGATATGTTTTTTTATATATTATCTCAATGATGATTAATGACTCAATAACATTATGTGTATCATATTAGATTACTTATATAATAAATACAAATAAATGTACCATTTGTTTATGCGATAGGTTAAGGATAAGTTTTAGAGGTTTGACTGGTTAATATGGATTAATAACGTACTTTATGATAATGATAGGTAATTAATATTAATCATTTTTGAAAAATTTACCTCACTTTCCTTATTTACTTATTCATGTTATGAACGTATTACTTTTCTTGGTTTTTAATAATTTAATTAATAAATATTCAACTTAAAATATAGTAAAATTAGGTATAAGAAGAACAAAAATCATTTCATCGAAATCTAAATTACAAAATTAAATTCTAAACCTTTTATTTTTTTCAAATAAAAATGTTAAATTCATCATTTAGAAAATTTAAAAATTAAAAAAATTTAAAATTCTAAACCTTTTATTATAAATTTATTTTAGGAAACAACTGGCCAAATACATATTCCAAATAAATATGGACTTAAACGATAAAACAATTAATACTGTCCGTTTCTGTAAATTTTACGTTACTCTCTTCATTCACAAATCAACTATAAATTTGATATCGAACACTTAGAAATTTGCACACATTCAAAGAAGTAGAAATACACAAAATAAAAGCACGAAGAAATCTATTGTATTGTTGATGAAATAGGGGAGATCAAGTTTTGTCCTACCACAATGACATTAGCAGGGCCATGTGGTCCTACTGCAAAGTTTGACTGTTTTGAAGCCATTAATGGAAAGTACGGGGCAAGGGCAATGACACAGAGGTGTTCTTGTCAACCATTACCGTCTAACCAACATATATGCCAGTGTTATATTGTTTGCCAATCATTCTAATGCTCTTTCTTTTAACCACATGTACTCGTTTCATCAGCTTTATTTTGTCTCAATAAAATAATTTCTACAATTCAAAAACCTTCTTGTTTAGTGCGATTATCCTCTTCATCTTGTTTTCTTTGTTCTTGAATACAAATTTTGAATCTAGATCAATTAATATGGACAAATTAATCTCGAATCTTATTACAAATAATATCTTTTATCTTTTAAATATAACTTCTAACTAGAACATGATGTGCTTGAAGCAGTAAAAGGGTATATGCAAAAATTTATATTAGGATAAATAAATTATAAATAAAAGATCTAAAATATATTATAATTTTAAATTTTTAGAGAGGGTCGGATGTCCCTAGTTGCTTCCCCTCGAACTCTCTCTAGCAGTCGACAAGCCTCGTCGAGGTGGGTGTTTACCAGCGGAATGTGAGAGCAATTACGCGACCATGTTAGGGGCATTACTCTCGACGATAACAATATCACAAACCAATTCGGATGCTAACCGAATTTCGTACGTGAGGGCATGAGCAACTCCAAGCGCTACATCACAACAAGCAGGGAGGTTACAGCAGATCACCCTGTCAAAAACCACATTCATGGCTGAGTTCTTTGGAAAGTGGGCAATTGATTTGAATACAAAAGGAGACAGAAGTCATGCAGGGCATGATGAGAGCAACCCATGAAGAATCAAAATCAAGGCAGAGCATCATTGATCGAAGAAAAGGCCACTCGACATGGTCGTAAGCTTTCTCCATATCTAACTTCAATGCTGCATCGTAGGAAGATCCAGGATTGACGGAATACAAGTAATGAAGAAGTTCATGTGCTACCAAGATGATGTCGAAAATTTGACGGCGCAAAACAGAGACTGTCTAAGCATCGTCAATACATCGCTCCATGAGTGCACTTTGGAAACAATTTTATAAACAATCGTACGAAGAGCAATTGGCTGAAAGTGCTGCATCGACTTCGGATCGGCAACCTCAAGAATCATGACAAGAACAGTCAGATTTACACTCTCGATGGTGTCAACACACATTTTTCGTCCTACTAGGATTCAAACTCTCAAAAATAGGATATAATTCTGCTAGGATTCAACTCCTAAAATAAGATAGAATTTTACTATGTTTTAAACTCCTAAAGATAGGATCCACAAACACTATAAATAGCCATTGTAGCTCACTATTGTAACACACGATTGGCATACGAAATTACCAGAAAAAATACGAGCAAATAGATTGTTTTAAGCTATTGTAAACAATTCAGGAGCAATAAAAGGTGAAAGCTTTTACCTTTCTCATTCTTTTATTCACTTGCATGTGTTGTTATTCGTCTTTGTGCTTGAAAAAAAAACAGTTTTGGCCGAGGAAAAGGGGTTGTCGTTCGAAACTTTTTCTTTTAGATCTACACAACCCCGAGGCCGCTTTGGAAAAATACTAGGATATTTAAAACGAAGGAAAGGTTTGTCGCCGATAAACGGTCCCTTATGTATTATTTTCATATTTTTATTTATTTCTTTTTGATAAATCTTATTATTAAGTATATATATATATTAATTATTTTTATTCTAATATTATTTTAATATATTTTTTTAAAGTTATTATATATATATATTTATAACTATTATATTTATTATTATTTTACTATTAACGTATAAATATATTTTTCTCTTTTGCTACTATTATTATCATTATATGTATATTTTTTATTGTATTTTATTTTATTTTTACTTTTTTTAAACATATGCATATATACATTTAATTATATTTTTATATTTTATACTTATTTTTTTTTTTGTTTTCATGTATTTATATTATATTACATTATTATTATTTACTTTATTAAATTTTTTTTTTCGTTATTATATTTATTATATATATATATATATATATATATATATATATATCATAATGTTTTTTGTTTATTCATTCTTACTATTATAGGGATACATCACACTCATTATTAACTACAGTTCTACCCCTTATCGTCTTTTTCCTTCCGACAATTATACTTCACCAAACATTGACTTTCTTTTTTTACTTTTTTGGTGATTGCGTTTTTATTTTACTACTTATTATCATTATTATTATTTTGCACTTAATAATTATATGTTTTTATTCCTCTTTTAGTTTTTCATCATTTTTTTTTATTTTTTTCCTTCTATTTTCTTTATTTCATTTACTCTTATTTCCTTTTTCCTTTAACGCGTTTCTCGACTTTTTAAGGGTACTCTTTCAAATTGATCGGAGGTAAGTAATTTTGGATCATATGTTACCTTTAAATTTTAACTTTCGATTTTTTTAATTAAAAACAACTGGAAATTACGTAGTACCGAAAGGGCGGTTCAAGGGTGCTAATCCTTCCTTGACCGTAACCGACTCCCGAATCCGACATATCTTTGGTAAGACGCAGATCAGGTAAGATATAAGGTATCCGATTAACCTATTTATTTTTTTAAATAAATAATCGGTGGCGACTCCAATCACATTTTTCAAGTCGAAGCCCAATTCCGGGAACCAACCGAAAGACGGTTACGACAGCTTAGCGACTCCGCTGGGGACACAGGTAAGTGAGTCAGACTAAGGTAATTTCCAGTTGTCTTTTTAACGAAAAGGGTAAGTTTAAATTTTAAGGTAATATTTCGATCCTTTTTACTTACTTTTGATTATATTTTCGAGTAAATAGTTGGACTAATCGTTTTCTCATGATTTCAGCCTTCAAATTTTTTTTTCATCTAAGGCTCTATACCCGAGCTCCAATTCCTTTTAAGTGGGGGTGAAAGCGACGCCTTCGTGTGAATTTATTCACCGTGTGGGCCTAGCAAGTAGCCTTCGGGATACATATACCTTATGCCTTCGTGTGAATTTATTCTCCGTGTGGGCATAAGAGAATGTTTCCTCTCGAGTTTAACTTCGTCCACACAAACCTGTGATGGGTTTAGGACTAAGGGTCTGGCAAGCCCAAGGGGGCACCGGCAAGGAGAACTCGGGTACCGTTTTTTAAAACCTAAACCGGGAGACCATGGAGAAATAGAGCCTACCCCGAAACCACGTTCCAAAACCTAGGATTGTTTTTTTACCTTAACCATGTCTTTTTGTGTTTTTTTTCTTCCGTCATTTTTTTCGTTTGTTTTTATTTTTTACTAACGTTTTTGCCTTTGTGTTTTTTTCTAGCATTTGCATCATTACAAGAGGTTATTGATCCCTAAAAAGCATTTGTTATACACAAAATAATTCGAATTAATGGACAAAGATGTTGTAATACAAGAGATTGAAAACGCTGAGGCACGACTATGGTCCGAGAAGGCTCAAAAAGAGAAGGGAGACAGTCTTCAGGGGAACTATGTGTCAGAACTGGTTAGTTACGCCGCTGTCAGCCTGAAATAGAATAATCTCCAAGAGCTGCGAAACATTTGGGACAGTTGGAAGAATGACAGAAAGCAGAAGTTCAGCCAACGATATGGTGATATCGCCCTCTTCCTCCATGTCAAGACTGATGAGCCCTTACTCCGAGCATTAATTCAATTCTGGAAGAGTTACTACTCTACTGCATTGCGAAAGCATCAAACTAGAGAGGGCATATATTAAACATATCAAGAGTCAGCCTTTCAAGAACGGACTGGCCAAGATTGCAGGGGTTGATGAAAAGTGGGTGACTGATCGACTCCGGCACAAAGGTAACGGGCAAGGAATTGAGTGGATCCACATAAGGCAACTAATGAAGGACCACCCTGATGAATGAAAGACTATAGACCTTTTTGCACTAGGTCTGTATGGCTTGATCATCTTTCCGAAGGTTTTGGGATGCATTGACGCAGCCGTAGTAGAATTATTTGAACAACTTCCAAGGCGAGTCAACCCAGCACCGACCATCTTAGCCGAGACCTTTCGGTCCCTTAATCATTACAGAAGAACTGGTGGAGGAAGGTTCATTGGGTGTGTTCAACTCCTTCAAGTCTGTATTCACAACCACTTCTGAAAGACTAGCGGGGTTACCTACCGCCGATTCAGCACTACCTATTCACCATTAGGAGAGTTCATCACTATGAAATGGCATGAAGGAGCTTCGAAGGAAAAATGGATAAAGGTCTTCACGCATCTTCAGGATCATGATATTACCTGGAGAGACCCCTAGTTGTTCCACAGTGATGTTCTTTTCAAGTGTAGGGATTCTGACACTATGACCCTACTTGGACTTTGGGGTACAGTTGGGTATGCTCCGTTGTTGGCACTTAGACAGTATGGAGCACGTCAGTTTGTCCCAGCAACATATGGATTATCTACATCAGAATTTATGTATCAGGATGACAGTTATAAGAAGATGATTAAGGAAGTAGCCAAGTCATGGAAGAAAGTATCCCGCATAGATGTTGTAGCAGCCAGGGACATGCTTACTCTGGATTATGTGGAGTGGCGAAGAGTGAGGAAAAATGACAATATTCCGGTACCAGAATGTGAGGACACCCGTACCTTGGAAGAACATCTCAGGCCTGCCCCTTCTGAAGCCGAGATAGCCAAGACAGAGTTTGAAGCTGTGAATAATGAGCTGAAGCAGAGGATAAAGGAGCTTGAAGCTGAGCGCTATCAGTGGAAGCTAGATGCCGACTCTCAGAAAGATCGAGCAGACAAACTTGAAAAAGAACAGAAAAGAGTCCGTTTTGAGCTCGAAGACTTGAGAAAGGGGTATCAGGATACGGTCAAGGATAACTCCAAGTTGAAGGTATCTTATGAGTACTGGAAAGATGAAGCTCACAGCTTGAAGAGAAAGTTCGAGGGACCTGATGAGAGAGCCTGGAAGGAACAGATAAAGACTGCCCAGAGGCGCTTAGCAGACTGTCAGTATCAAAACCAACGCTTGAGAGTCCAGATGGCTGATCTGGAGAAACAACATGAGAAAGATGGTAAAACAATAGCTGAGTTAGAAGCCATTGTAGAAGGATTCAAAAAACAAGCAAGCGAGCTTCAGATAGTGCCCTTTGACAGGGGTTTGCAGTGGCGTTTCCGATGGGAGCAAGCATAACAAAGGGTGAAAGCCAGAGACGCAGTCATCCGAGATTTCCTGGATCAAGTACAGAAGGCAGCTCGCCATCTACACGGCCTGGCAAGGGAAGCGGGAGTGGTCCGATAAGGTATACAACCGGTGACAGATGAAGGCAGAAGACTTGTCAACCTAATAGAGGCTGTTCGAGGTCTAGAGGATTTAGTCCGAGTGTACCTTTGATTGTTTTTATGTCTCTTACAAGATAAAACATTTTTGTCTAAATAAAGATTATTCATAATAACAGGCACATTTCTTGGATCAATGCCTCGAACATTTCATGCATTCTTGCATTTTTGCATCTTCATCTATATTTTTAAGCATTTTCATAAACATGAAATTAAGTCACGGAGGATTCGATGAAGTGGTCTTAACCACATTACACCACATGAAAGTAAGATTTTAACAATTAAAGAAAAACTGAAATCAGTACAGGGGGAGCTGGATCAGCTGATTGTAGGACTAAGCCTGCCAGGATGATCTTAGAAAAGAGTACCCATCTCCTAAGGGCTACGATGTTGAAGTTATTGCCACATAAGGATTCCCAAAAATTCTTCTGAAAACTGTAAGGCGCTTGCAGAAGAAGGGGGCATGGCATATACCATTTGTACTTATAGGATTGTTTTGTTTGAACACATCTTTTAAACGATTGAATTCATGTTACTTTCTAAGGTGGAGCAATTGAACAAATTTTAATCGTTAGTTCTTTGAATATTAAATGAATTAAGGATTCTTTTAATTCTTCAAGAATTATAGATTTTTGACATATGACAAGATTAGACCTTTCTTACCCTGTCTCAAACCCTAGAATAAAATAACTTGATTCTTTACCCAAAATAACTCATGGTCATTACCAAAAAACCAAAATTTGACATTACCTCTATTTAAAATTCTTGAACATTACCTTTATCTTTTTGATACACCCATACCTTTCTTTGAGTCAATAAGATCACACAACTGTCTTTTTAGACTCAAAATTAACCTTTTTTACCATTAAAACCC